AAAGCATAAATAGATAAAACAAGAAATATTATCACTGCAGGTCACTTTCCTCATCTTTACTATCACCGTAGGTCACTTTTCTATACAGACACACTTTTCTCTCTCCATCAGATCAATTCTTGTTGTGTTTCAACTAGTTCTCTCTCTTACAGTTACCTTCTATAACTAGACCAGTAAAACAAGGGTTCTAATTGTTATACAGTTGGCGGGCTTTTTTTGTCAGCCATTGATATTAAAACCAATTCAACGCCTCAGATTTAATATGACAGATCTGGATTTGACTAATAGATCCCATCTAACCCCAACCATCTGATCATGATCCCTATAATTTCGACGGCCCAAATCAATTATCATCTATTCACTTTCACCTTTCTTCTCCTTCTTCGTTTTTTTTTTAGTAAAAAGTAAGAAACCAAAACCTTCCCATTTCACCACCTCTTGCACAACAAAACTTTAATCTTTTGACTCCAAAATCGTTGTATGTACAGTAATATTATTCTAACTACCAATTGATTAGATACTAAGTTATTGACGAGACTGTCTCATGTGGGGACGAGATGCTTGAAGAGATGTTCAAAGAAGACCCAGATCACATTCCTGATAGCTAGAAGACTGAAGAGGAAGAGGAAGATGCCTCATACACTGAATTACCTTATGGTTTTGAAAATGTCCAACCACGAGGGTATGATCATGACTTTTGGGACCCTTTGATTGACAAAGACCTTGGAATTTCTGATGCTTCTGAAGTTATGGCTGGCATCCAAGTTCCTAAAACTGCTCCCCACATCATTCACTGCACCACTGGTGACGCTTTTGACCACACTGTCTTACTATCTGGAGAACAACCATCCCAATGTACATCTGTACACTTGCATAATTTCTACCAATATGTACAAAAGTATTTCACGCGTCCAATATTCATGTCCACCAATTAGATAAAACATTGTACAACCCAAATTTGCACTTGTTATTTGCTCAGATTGTACACTATCCTCACCAAATACTTATTATTAGTTTTTCTTGAATTTTTTTAGTTCATTTTTTGATTGTTGGGCCTTATATTACATGTAATAACTTCTGAACATGTATTATGTCTGATGGTGGAGCTTTTTAAACATGTGTCTTATTGCATTGGTTTTATATCTTATGAGTTTCAGGATTCTCGCATTCTGGTACATCTGTACACTTGCATAATTTCTATCCGTATGTACAAAAGTATTTCGCGTGTCCAATATACATGACCACTAATTAGATAAAACATTGTACAACACAAAAATGGACTTCTTATTTGTTCAGATTGTAAACTATCCTCACCAAATACTTATGAAACATACTTATGAATAATGGCTTTTTCGAACATCTGTACACCTACATATAATCCAATCCATATGTACAAAAGCATTTCACGTATCCAATATAGGCGTCCACCAATTACATTAAACATTGTACAACCAAAAATTGGAGAGGATTATTTCTTCTGATTCTACACTATTCTCCCAAATACTTATAAAAACATGGTTTAAGTACATCAAATTAGATAAAACATTGAACAACCTTAAAACTTATCAAACATCATTAAACACTAATCTACCCAGAAACCAATAAACTTTTAAGAAAACCTAAAACTAGAAACAATTTTCTACCTAAACAATACTACACAAACAAATCTACACGGAATCAAATCAAAGCCCCCATCGAGAATCCCTAAAACGACAAACCCTAATCTACCCAGAAACCCATACGCTCCATACCTTTCTCCTTTCCCCTTGTGCTTTTCCTTCGCAGAGCCGACATCGTCTTCAACTTTTTCACACTCGAAAATCGCCTTCGCTTTTGTCTCTGTAATTACAAGCTTTACCCCACGAAAGATAAATTAACCACTAAGAAAGTAACTGTTTATGGTTAAGCACAACCAATTAACCAAAATAAATCACTTTCTCCCGTCCGTAAACCACAGCCACATGTTTTTGAATTTTAAAATCTGTAACCAGCCCAACTAGAACAATGTGGCCCAATTACGATAACACCCATGCCTCCATAACCTTTTCCAAGGACAATCCTGTAATCCACCACAATAAAGTACCTCTGTAGCAACATGTGCTCTTCCATGAAATTAAAACTTACAATGTGTCCTGCATTGAAAATAAACAAAAGGGGACGTGATAGAAAGTGATGAATAAGGTTTATTATGACGAAGATTCGTGCGTCCGCTTGATCTGCTATAGCAACCTAAGCCAACCACGCCTTCTGGATCACCTTAGGAGCTGACCCTGCTGGCTTCCTGGAAGCAGTACCAGCCGCACCTGTAGCAGCACCATCACTTGCCTCACAACTGCTCTCTCCACCCTCAACCGTACTCGGAATTGGGGGTACCGTCTAGTTTATTGTTCCCATCATAGTTGTCACCTCCCTGTTCAGCATCGTGATTATAGAAACATACATATTTATAGCACAACAAAGCAAAGCATTAGACATACTTTGTTGACAAAGGCGGGTATAGGTATATGGTGAAGTACACCCAGGATACGTGTGAGCGCGAACGTCTAATGGTTAGCGGTGAAGTTGTACGTAGTAACACTGACTTGAAATGTGTACGTCTTTCCTTCCATATCTGCTATAGATGGTGACACCTGAATCCTCATGATTTACACCGTTCTCAGCCTGGATTAAAATAACCCCAATATGTATCACGCTTAGATAATATAGTAATTTAGTATTATGTCAATAGGACTATAGAATCAGGTGCGATTCTTATTTCACCAGCTTCAGTGGCGTTTAGATTGTGCAATCTAGTCATCAAAACAAACAAACACACCCTCAGAAGTATCATCAGCAATGACCATCTCTACCTGGTTACTAAATAAGAAGCATAGATCAACGGCAATATAGACGTCTGGGTGCGGACAATCATAGCAATATAATATTATAGTAAACTATGTGACATACCGGAGAGATCCAACAGCAAGAGAGTTGTCGCAGAACATGCGAAAGAACATGTGAAAGAGGTGACAGTGTACTGAATTTCTTGCTGCATTTGGATCACGCTACATAACACTTACCCTTGTCCATGTCGATGCGAGTAACTTTCCCGATGCATATGAAGTCAATATCCTAAACGCCATATACAAAGATAACATACTGTGTCACGCTAGATAAAATTGAAGTACAATATTGATAGAAATCATACATGAGCAGGAGCGGTGTTGACAAATTTATTGAGCTCATCTATTGCGAGGGGATCAACCTTTGCATATCCTCGCAGTAAGGGCGGCTCATGGAAGACCAGTATCTCTAGCAACTAACCTATATACATAGAGACATACTTCAGTATTGTTTAAAACAATTTAAACAATCAGACAATATGACATCAGAAAACTTTATATGAACCCAAAACAAATTAATACCTACAACCATTTTCTGGTTAATGTTGGTTGCAACTATCACCCTAGTTTTTTGACGCATTGATTCAAGTTTTCGGTAAAGAGAAACAGACTGGAAGTCGAATATACTCAACGTAACGGTCACATTACTGCAGATATACAGCAGTTAGTTAGGTGACGAAACAAACACCAAATCTAGCCGAAATCTCAGACAGTTACGATTCAATTCAGGAGCGTATATAGTAATAGATGTTTAACCTGGATAAATTAAAAAAAAACACCAGAGTTGCCAGAGTTTTAAAACGTTTGGTTTTAGGAACGTATAATGAGAAAGAAAAAAACAACACCTCGCCGGAATTCCGAGTCAAACACCAAACATGGCCGGAAGGTCCGATAGATACGATTCAGAAGCATAGATGATAAGATTTCTTACATTAACATCCACCAGGAGCATATCAAGCCACATGAGCTCATCACGACGCTTCACATTCCTCGCCTCCCAACAACGGAGAAGCCTAACTTCAACGGCGGAGGTGCACTTTCCGGACTTCAGATCTGAAAGAAACACTCTTGAATTAGCCATTTATATGATTACGAACGTAGAGATAAGAGGATGGTTCTCCATAGATGGAAGCATACCTATTTATATAGTCGTGAGACCGACTCAGAGTAGCCCAATGAGCATTGATGGGAAGATTGTGATTGGAGAGCAATCAAGACGAATAACGCCATGGATCTGCAACTGGTAAGCTGTAGGAAATCGAAGAGGTCGATGAGAGCAAAGAAAAATCAACAGACGCAAGAAGCTTCTCCACAGGGGCTGAGGCGACTTTCAGGACGACACCGTGTTACAGAAACCAACCTCCTGCTTTTCGGGTCAAATTGTATAGACTAAGGCCCATTACGATAGATAAAACCCAGCCGAATTTAAAACAATTGTTGAATATCTGACGTGACACATTCTTGTGAGAGATAACCCTTCTTTATAATAATAGATATTAAATCTAAAACAACTAAATTCTATTGGTTGGTAAGTCTCTAGGTTCGTCCTAAAAATTTCTCAGTAATAAATGGGCAAGTGAAAATTGTTATAAACGGTCAAGACAAATTTTGTAATAACTAAAGAAATATATGAGGTAACAAATTGAAAATTTCTCATTCACTGATTTAATTTGCTGATGTGGATAGCCTCACTGCTCTAGTTCAAGAAGTATTGTAAGATGATGTGAGGGGAGTTGATAAAAAAATTTGGTTATTTTGAACGATTTGTAAGTCCATTTGTCAATGCATTTGTCCATGAATTAATCAAAAGAAAAACGCATTTGTCCATGTAACAGTACAAGATTCAGTTTCTTGAGGTGGAGTTACTTCGATTGGTAGTTAATAAATAAAATGCATATAGTAAACCCTTAGATGACTAATGATCAAATAACAACAAGAATATCAAATCAAAACCTCTTATTATTGCATTGAACATCTTATGAATAGTTATAAATCCAACAGAATTCAGTCAGACATTCCATCAGACTTACCTCACAGTCCTTACAAAACTCGATCACACAACCGAACAATCAACGAGGTTGTCTCTTTCAAGAAACACATTAACAAAATACAATATCTTCAAATGATGTAATCTGACCATTCCGAGATGAATGAAGTGTGATCCATCGATTCTCCAGGACACTCCTCATCATCATTCCTTGGTTTCTCTTTTCCTCCGACAAGTCTCGCCGGATTCCCAACCGCCGTCGCCCGCGGAGGAACATCAATCAGAACAACAGAGCCAGCACCTACTTTAGCTCCGCAACCGATCTTAACATTCCCGAGAATAGTCGCTCCAGCTCCGATCAAACAACCGTCACCAATCTTCGGATGTCTATCTCCACAAGCTTTACCCGTCCCACCAAGCGTCACGTGGTGGAGGATCGAAACATTGTTCCCTATCACAGCTGTCTCTCCGATCACAACACCTGTCGCGTGGTCGAGAAGTATCCCTCTCCCTATCTTCGCTGCGGGATGGATATCGACGGCGAACACGTCAGAGACTCGTGAGTGAAGAGCTAAAGCTAACGGCTTACGAGACTGAGTCCATAGCTTGTGCGAGACACGATGCGCCTTCAAAAAAAAAAAAAAACTCATTAAAATCGTACGGTGCAGATTCATTCACCAGAACTGAATTAAAAACAAAATCGGACGGTCGAGATTTCACCTGAATCGCTAGGAAGCCTTTGTAATTAAGAAGGCACTGAGAGAACGAGATACACGCGGGATCACGAACGCGAGCGGCGCGTAGATCCGCGACGGTTGCGTTTCGGAGAGAAGGATCGGAGGTGAAGGTGTTTAGGAAGAGATCGTAGAGAAGCGTGGAGAGGAGCGTCGAGGAGCAGAGTTTGTTTCCTAGATGAAACGAGATGGATCGCTCGAGAGAGGAATGAGAGAGGATCGTGGAGTAGAGATAGCTGGCTAACGCTGGCTCCTCCTCGGCGTCGTGGCGAGCTTCCGCTTTGATTTGTGTCCATAATCCCGCAGCCTCCGCATCCGCCGCGGCTGCGGAAATCGCTGCCGCGGATTCTGATTCGGAAGGTTGAAAAATTTCGTTTGATTGTTTCTCTGGTGAATTTTGGAGTTTTCCGGCCGGTGGCATCTTAACGACGGCGATAATATAACAATCTGTTCTCATCGTGAGGAATTTAAACATAGGTTAAAAATAATAAACGTCCACGTGGCGCATAAGTAACGTGACACAAATGTGAGCCGTTGATAGTTTTATCTTATTTTTATCCGTTAGATTAAATTTCTCTTTCCGGAACTTGACGGTGGTGATTGAGCACACCTCATTGATTTATTATTTAAAAAATAAAAATTAACAATTAATTCGGTATACTATAGAACCCCTATAAAATAATACTAGATGGATTAATAATATCTATAAATTAATAAATTTTACCGAACTTGGGTCAATATAAAATATGATGCAAATCGATAAAATAATAAGATAATGATAGAGTATTTGCACTCCATACACACACAAAATCTCTTATTTAACTCTATACCCTATTTCCTTCTTATCTCTCCTCCCCCATCACTACTTTTTTTCCCAAAATATGGTAAATCCCTAATTACCTTCTTCTTTTGGCATATTGACTAAACCACTCATAATAATATTATTAAACTTTTATGTAAATATATAGCCCCCTTAACTATAAATTAATAATCTATCTATATATATTATACAAATACAAATTAAACATTATAATGTTGTTTTTATATTCGCAACGAAAATATATCTATTTTTCTTAATATTTCAATATATTTGATAATTTAGTGAAATTATATCAAAATTCACATAACAATACTATGAAACATAAAAATATAGACCAAGTAAGATAATAAAACACTATGAAAAATCAACTTTCTAAAACTTAAATAATTAATATATGGTAAAATCAAATATTTTCTTAATTTATAAATAAAAATACAAAAATAGTAAAAATCTTTAAAAAAAAAAGTTTTTGTAAATTAATATTTCTATAAAGTAATAAAATTTTAAAGTCTCGGTATAGAGGTTTTACTGTGTAAATTGGTACAACAAACAAACAAAACCGGTTTGGCTCAAACAGTTCCGGTTAGGTAACAGCTTAACTTAACAAAGTCATGAGGGGATGATGACTCTCATTCCCTTATGCTCTTCACATCTTTTACGTCCTTTTACCGGAGATCTTTCACAGACCAATCCACTACACAAATGAACACCGCATCTCACTTGTGTTCTGGTCACCGGATGAATCTTTTCCGGCAAGCTATCGCCGGAAGTTTTCTCCTTATGTTGCCAACATCTTTTGCTTCCTTTAGGAGAACTTCTTGTGCAAGGTGAACCACTCTTTGTTGTAGCTTCACAGAAGCTAGTCAAAGCTTCTTGTTCTTCTACTATGTTGCCGGTACGCGGTTCAGGATCATATTTCTCGGTTTTGACGGTTTTTTCACAGTCAGTCCGGTTAAGAAGAACGAGGAAAGCGTTGATCCTCATGCCTTTATGATCCTCACATCGTTTTCTTCCTTGAACAGGTTTCTTACTGCAAGGCTCCATGTTTGGTAAGATCACTCCACATGTGAAAACATCAGAGTCTTCGTGTTTGTAATCTTGTCTGAGGAAAATCTCGGGCTGTGGTTTAACAGGTGAAACACGGCAAACTCTCTGCCCTTTATGCTCTTCGCATCTCTTTCTTCCTTTAACTGGACTTCTACTGCAACGACCACCATTTTCAAGTATGACTCCACAAACAGAACCATCTATCTCATCAGTAATGTCTGAAACAGGCTGAGGTCTAGATCGGGTGAGTTTGATTATGGAAGTGAAGAAAGTGGAACTCTTCTTCTTCTTCTCTTCACCAACATCAGAGCTTAGCTTTCTCTCTTCTTCAAGCACATGCTTCTCCCCTTTGATTCTGATACCAACTTGGTTCCGGAGAAAAGGAAACAGCACTCGTGATATCCCTGACTTTCTATTTCTCATAAACTCGCGATCACCGAGCTTCATAAGCAGATCAAGCTGGCGTCGTTCCCCGTTGCTTCCTTTGTTCCACGCATAATCAAACGTACTCAAAAGCATCCCTTCTGTTGCCTCAGCTTCCCTCTTAGACCCCATCTGATAAGTCACACGAATTAGGCTCAAAGTTATAACAGACTCAGCAGAAGTAAAGAAACAAGATAAAAAGACATGAATACCGGAGCCCATCTATACACAACCGAGCCATCTTTAATAAATATGTCCTCAAATAAACCCGTGGTCACAGGCTTCTTATCAGGAGACTCGATGGTTTCACAGTCGTTAAGGTTGTTGTTATTGTTGTAAACATTGCGCAAATGAGCACCGGATCTTCCATAACACTGAAGTCTAGATCTAACGCTTTCAGCTTGTCCTAGATAAGCAGCGAGGACATCATCAGAGTCCAGCTTCCGGGCTTGGTCATGACCGATGACTGCTACACCGAGCTCATACAGACCAGGAGAAGATCTACAAGGTAAGTTCTGGACTCTGTATCTACCTACACCGTCTTTGCCGCTTTTGAAATCCTCCCAATCGTTGGATCCTATCAGAACCTGTGTATACAGATTTTAAAAATATAACATCAGAATCCCAGCTTCTTTGATAAATAGACAAAGATTAAGATCAAAACCACTTCAAGTTGCAAATTAATTAGGTGTAATAAACTGAGAAACCTAAACAAAAATCCAAAGGAGTGGAAGCAAGTAAAACATGATTTGTGCAAAGCATGTAATAACCTGTGACACAAGCATCTATATATTTGCATCAAAAATCGAAGATGATGTATTTTAATTGGACTGAAAATCAGAGGATAAAACACGAGATCGAGCAAAAGCCCCAAAACTCAGAAATTTTGATTTAAAAATTTGAGGGAGAGAGAGGACCTTCCACTTGGAGAAGACGGCGTCGTGTTTGGTTCGCTTATAGTCTTCTCTTTTGTAGACAGTAGGGACGACGGCGAAGGAACGGCCGTCGCCGAAATTCATTCCGATGATACAAGAAGTTAAGGTGTGTTTTTTTCTTCTTTTTCTCAAAGCTTTATTTTTTATTTTTAATTCCCAAGTCACAACTGATTATAAGATAAGAAAGTCTTCCCTCCGAAAAGATAATGTTTGATTATATTACATCTCTCTTTGTGTGTCATGTTACCGTTGGAACGGTGAAGCTTTCTCTGTACGGTTTAAGGATTAGTCACTGTCATCTCGCAGTCAATGCTTGAGAGAATGTAGTTAGCATAAATGTCGCATTATTATCCTATGAATAACTAAAATAATTATTGGTTAAATTGTCTTCTATGTTTGTGATTTTTCTTCCCATCAATTGACAAATGGAATAGTCGTCTCCAAATCTTCCAAGGGCTCCTTAAGTAACGAATCTCGTCTTACCAGTCCACCAACTCGTAAAAAAAAAAAACCTCCAGTTTTTGCAAGTGAAAAGTACTATTTTTTTTTCACTCATCTGTATCCGTTGAGATCACTTTTATGGTTTTATCGGTTAGGAATTGGGCCTTTTCTCTACATACTTGGTTCAGTTTGGTTTCTTCTTTCTGGGCCTTGTTAACTCTAATGGGTTTGTCTTGCTACCTCCTCTATATATTAATCATTTAAAAAATTATAACCTTAAGTTTTTATTAATTAAAAAAACCATGATATTTCTCTCTGCCTTCTAAATTCTATTTAGAAGAATTTTAAAACACCTTACATAAAGCATTCTAGAACATTTTATATAAAACATAGTTTTAAAACAAGGTCCGTTTGTCTCAATATAAAACATATCAAACTAAATAACATATCAAATTAAATCTCCTATATATTCTTTAATTAAATAAAACTTACGGAATTACCTAATGTGAGAAAGATATATATGAGTATTAATGATTTTAAATTATAAAGATTTGTTAACAATTTGTATACTTTATATCATTTTTGTTTATTTTTTTTATTATTATTAAAATAAATTACACAATTACACTTATCATATAATAAAAATTTTAGACTTTTTATATATGTTGTATTTTGAAATTTTCAAAAATGAGTATAAATTACTAAAACTGTTAAAAATTTCACATAGACTTTTGTGATCAAGGTCAAAAAAATTTCTATAATAAGTTACAATGATTATAAAATCATATGAATAAATAATTTTATTTTAATAGGTACTTATGTTAATATATATACATATATATCTCATATCGTATGAATAAATAATTTTATTTTAAACATAATTATAATTTAAATTAACTTAAAATAATTTTTTATTTAAAAAATATTTTTCTGATATTATTAGACAAATCAATAAATTATATTAAATTATTTTTTAAACTTTCTATATTCTAAATGCACATATTCTACCAACTACTTCTTAAGAAAGCATTAGAGAACTTGATAATGCTCCACCAATTAAGCTATGTGACACTCCCCGTTTATTTTCCATCATTTGAACACTTAAAAGTGAAAAGATATATGAACCGAACCCATTAAATTCTAAGTTTTGATCTACAGTTCTAATTACAATTGTTTTTAATCCTACGTATAGATAATTATATAAAAAATTCCAAAATTTCAAATACATATAAAAATAATCATATGTAAACTTTAAATTTGGCAATACTAAAGTTTTATATTTTATATTACATACACTTATTATGCGCAAATGCATGTCTATCCTAGTTTAAATGAACTCAACAGTTCAACAGAAAAGGAAACTAACGAATCAAATGGAGGTAAAGAATAATTCTGATGTTCTAAAGCGTTTCAGTTTGAATTTTCTTTGTGAAATGATTTTCTTTCAAATATTTATTACGTTTTAGGTTGGCTTACTCAAGAACAATAGCCAACATCTCAATCCAATTTCCCTTTAAATTAACGCAAAAATTAAAAAAAAAAACGAATAAAATGGAGGTAAAGAATTTACTCATGTTCTAAAGCGCAGACCCAAATGATAATTTCTTCTTATGTTGGCTTAGGCCTCGATTGGTACAGCAGATGATAAAGCAGTAGCAGTATGCTGCAGAAGCAGTATGCTACAGAAGCTGTATGCTTTCATTAAAGTTTTTAATAAAGTGATTGGCAGAGCATTAGCAGTATACGATTTTAAAATTATCATAATAGTTA